TATATATATGTTCTTGCACCCTACATCACATCTTTCCTTTTTAAGTGTAAACATTAAATTAGTAAAAAGCTTAGAGCGTTTTAATAAAGGCACTGTGGAACATGACATTTTATGGAAAAGACTGTATACATAGTCTTGCAGGATTTATAAGTAAAGGATTATATTATTATATATATATTATTCTAAATGTGAATCAGGCCCCGCTGCTCCCTCTCAGTCTCCATTTAGGATTCAGATGATGTTTGAATGTAGTCAGTCCTGTGCAGTGAATTTGGAAAAATTCAAATAATCTGTAAAAAAAAAAAATTGAAGGACAATTTCTCCAGAGCTCAAATTTCTCTTTATGAACACACAAAGACACACATCAGGACACACTGATAAAGACAGAGAGAGAATACAGAGCAGTCTTAAAATAGCCTCTTTATTCTCAGAGAAATGTTCCTCATTCAGCTTTTCTCCTGGATAACCTTGAGCCTGGCACGTTTCAGTGTGTAGCAGAGGGCGTCTCAGCATACACTGTCAGTACCACACTGAGAGGATGGTAAGGAGGTCCACAATCCAACTTCTGCTGGGCCGTACATGTAAGCCTCAACCTTTATTTTACTGCACTGATTTAACACATGGCAGGAGATAACTGCACACAGGAGCACACACACTTTCAGATCTGAAGGTGAAGGGTTAAATACTTTTGAATTATGTTCATTTACAGTATGTGTGCCCCCTTTTTCATGTGCTCTATTTCATTAGTGCATCAGGTGCAAAAACCCTCACAGTGCCATTTAAGAGTTCTCATCTTATAGAATATTATTTAGAGCCAGTTTCTTGCCATAACTGTGTTTGGTAATGACTTAAGCAGTTCATATAATTAGTGCTCCAGTCAGCTTTGTTTGCAAGAGGCACAGTCAGACAATAAAGAATAAATAAATAAACAGTGTGTAACAGTATACAGTAGTAGTGTTATAGTGTAGAAGTTAAATCATATGTTTTTTTGCTGCAGGTGTCTCTGACAGTGAGTCAGCATTTGCTCAGAGCATTTACACCACAGCCATGCTTCCCCCTAGTGGTAACAAACCAGACTCCCAAACTCATATAAATTGGTGGATGACGTAAACCACACTAAATCTGTAAGTTAAAGCTGAGAAAAGTGTCAGACCTGTCACAGTGTACAGTTGTACAGTTCCTCTTTTCTAGTAGAATAGAAAGGCAAACAACCCTGCAGTAACACTTACAGATATTTCCGTCACTGTTTTCCTTTATACTTGTACTTCTTAACATTTAAGAGGAAAACATCGTACCTTTTACTCCACTGCATTTATTTGACAGCTTTAGTTACTATTCAGATTAAGATTTTAAATGCAGAGTATGATGAGCTTATAAAATATAATACTGTGCTGTACTATTAAACTGAGCAGTTGTGTATAATAATACATATTCAATAATTCAGTGAATTATTAATGAAAATAACATCCTGCTTAATGCAGACTTAATTAATGGTACTTTCAGTACATTTTGCTGATAATACTGATACTAATATAATACTAATACTGATAATACTTTTACTTTAGTAACATTTTGGATGTTGCATTTTTACTTGACTTCAGTAAAGGATGTGAACACTTCTTCTGCCACTGGGATCAGTGCAGTAAGTGAGAAAGTGCGTGTTGGTAATTAGGGTGTTAGGTAATTAGTATGCTCACAATAACCCACTGGGGTATGACCTTTCCCTCTCTGTCAATACGTACACTTTGTCAGCAAAACAGTTTTTTTTCTGTATCGTTCACGTTGCACCATGGGCATTGCTAAAGAGAAACCTTCATTTAGAATATAAACTGAAAATGTCACAACAAAAAAAGAACAACAAATGTTACTAATTGGTGGCTTCAGTCTCTTTCAATATGTGAGTGTCTCATAACTTTAGTGTTGCAGAGAGAGACTCCGGCCCAGTTGTTGATGGCTGTGTTTGATGGGAAGTAGCTGCAGTTATTTTGAGCTCCAGACAGAGCCTGGAGAAAGAAGCAGAGACTGACAGAGAGGCCGGGTGACAGACAGACAGATGGTTGAAGCAGCAGTTTCAGTGCGGATTCCCCACAGACTGTCTGGGTCACTGCAAACACAGAGTGGTCACAGAGGTCTTTCTCTCCTTTTTGTTTTGTGTCCGGTCTCCTCTGTTCTTCTTAAAATAGAGCAGGAGGAGGAAACGGACAGAAATGTCCTGAGGATGAGAAAATCATATGGAGCTATTGATGAGGACACTGTCTGCAGGATGTTTAGCTGCTGTTTAATAGATCTTTTTTAATGTTCTGGCTAAAGGCAGACATTTCAGTTCAGCAACACGTAAACACAGCAGCAAAGTAACAAGGGCAATTGATGTGAAACCTCCTGATATCAGATAAAATCATCCAACCACACAGCTCCTGTCCAACCAGTGCCACCTACAGACCCCACCCCCACTGGAATATATTATAATCTGCAAACACTTTTGGTAGCTCTACACTCTTCCTGCAGATCACTTCAAGCTCTGAGATATGTTCAGGCTGGCTTGCACACACAGCAAGTTTAAGATGCCTACACACAGATTTTCAATGATGTTCAAGTCAGCGGACTGTGAGGGCCGACCCGAAAGCCTCATCTTGTGCGAAGTAGTTCATGATGGATGTGATGTTTTATATAAACACGGATAAAAAGTGTGTCAGAGTGATACAGTTGGTAGTGTGATAATGTAAACTAAACAGTGAAGAAAACAAGCTAGAATAGTAACATCTCCAAAACACAGTGTGTCACTATTTATATTGGCCTCTCACCCAAAAGCCACAGATTCGTCAGTCTTCACTGGTTTTTGGAATTTGATTAGCTATAAATGCTCAAGTCAAAAACAAAATATAAACTAACCTGGCTCATGTATTATTAGCTAATTATCTGGCTCTGTCTTGTGGAGGAGCCCTGCGTCAAAATATAAGATGTTTATTATGTGACGGCCCCAGGGCCTCTGCCAGGGTTTGTGTGCGTTCCCGGTTGGGTGGAGCTGGAGGCTATCAGAGAGAGGTGGAGGCAGCTGACCACTGTTTTGAATCTGCATTAGGGGATAAATAAAGTATCTATCTATCTATCTATCTATCTATCTATCTAGATGATAAAAGACCTATCCACCCTGACACTGAGGAGGCTCCCTCCTCCTTTGCACCACGTTGTCTTCTGTTTGAGTTTTGATTTTCTGTTTAGTTAATTTACTATTTCTTTTAGTTCTACCTGCCAGCTAGATTTGTTGAAATTGCCATTTGTGTTATCTTGGGCTGCCTAGGACCTGATGGGAAACAGGAGGTGTCAGGGAATGTATTCAGAAGGCGGCGAAGCGGGAAACACATGCCTGAATTCATCCATCATTCAGGGTTCAACACAAGTGAAATGGAGCAAATATTTGCAGGATGTAAATGTAATGACACCATAGATTTAAGATGGTGCCGGCTGGCACGTGTAGAGCCGGTCTGATGATGACCAAACAGCTCCCCCTTGTGGAGAATCTGCAGCCTGCTAAAGAGAAGGGTGTGAGTGAGTTTCAGGTCAGTTTCATGATGTTGTCCAATGGTAAGAAGCGCCATTACTTTTGCAGTACGATCACATTCAAGTGACCTGAATAAACCCTCCTCTTGATTTAAGGTACACAGAAGAAATAAGAACAGAATAATGGTGGAGAATGAATGTCAATGCAAAAATGCCAAAGAACTGTTTGCCAACTTGATAAGACAAAGTGAAACCAAAGGCAAAGATAAAGTAAAAGCATCAGAACCTCCACTCTCCCACAAAACCTGAGATTTCCCATTTATGTTTAGAGTCTCATACATACAGAGATTTTGTAAAACTTATCAAAAACTATAAGGACTGTGATAAAAAAAACACATAGAGCCTGAAATGAAAGCAAAGCATTTTATTAGATTCTATATTCAATATTGAAATACAAAAGGCACTGAATTCTGTTCTCCTAATACAATGCACACAGAGATGTGTGAATTAATACAAATCCTGTATTATATGATGGATGTTAAATTAGACCCTTATCTGCTGCAAGAACATCACACAAATGATCTGCGTTTGCGATTGTCCTTCAGGAACGCTGACATATGATCACATCCAAGCCGATGTTTTAAAACAGTACATCAAGTAAAACACACGTGTGCATGTTTTAAAAAAAAAAAAAAAAAAAAAAATCACATAGAAAATATACATCAGTACACAAATAATTTAGAGCTTGGTGGTATCTTACAGAGGTATAAGGAAGACTTTTGAGAATTGGAATTGTTTTGTTAAGTGTAATGATCAGAGGAAGTGAAAATGCAATACCTCAGCTGTGTACTGGTGATGTTGAGGCACTGGGTCTGTTCTTAGGAAGGGAACTTTTATGGCAAATTCACACTGGTCTGGTAAAAATTACAAATCAGATACACATCAGGGAAAATCTGGCATTCAAGTCCTGCTTCTCCTCTCATACCTGTGACCATCACACTTCAGGAGAAAACCTATTTTCTGATTACTTTAAATGATCCCCCCCCCGACTGAACATGCTGCTGCATGAGTACATGAAAAAATAACTCGGCCTTCCTCCTGCATTTACAGTTAGTGGTGACAACAACAGAGGAAGGTCTCAGATGGGATCCACTCAGCCCATTTAAGTAAACAGTATGAACTGGGTTCAGTCTACTTGGTGTAAATGTATTCATTTTACTGGCAAAAAATTTACATTTTAAACTCAGTATTACTTTGGTTTCCTTAGAAACGGCTCTAGAGCAAGGCTGTGTTCAAAGATGTAGCTGAAGCTGCACAAACCATTAAAATAAAGCAAAAAAAAAAAAAACATCAGTTTATTGCTTTAGCAAGAAAATTTGACCTAAAGAGAAGCAAAAATTATATTTTGTCTGTATTCTAAATTAAAGAAGGAATTAGATTAGATGTTTGCAATCATGAAATTAAGTGAGGCATAACACAGCATTAACCATCATGTGATACCAAGACTCACTATAAAACACTTCCACCAATGATACCACAGTGGTTTTACAAAGTTTTGGTTCCAGAGAGAAGTCAAGTCGACAGCAGTCTTACAATCTGAAAGTGACGGGGGAGGCTGCCAGTCTATTCTTGGTATTCTTTCTCATTAAGTAAATGATGCCAGATTTAAATTAATATTTACAGTAAGAGTAATATCCATTCAAAACCAATTAACTACATGACGGATCCGTTTTCTTCCTCGTTAGAAGGAAATTTGCAGCATACAAAACAAAAGTTTTCCAAACTGGGTCCAACAACAAAGAGAAATGTTTTTCAGGAGAGAAAAAAAAGCCGAATAAATGAGGGAAACAGAAACACTTCATCTTATTTATATTACATGATCAGTATCCACCATCAGTGTGGAAAAAAAAAACACACACAAGCATACTGCAGCCACATGAATATATGTGACCAGCACCCACACACTCAGGCACACGCTTACACAGTCACACATTACGCTGAAGAGCATTGTCAAAAAGTGCACACAAAATATACAAAGCCAAGACACACTGAAATAGCAATCAGTCAACTTCATTCATGCTTTCCACCTCCAAATGCACTTAATGTGTGACTTCCCCCCCCCCTACTGCCTTTTACACCCAAACAGAGCCGGACCGAGTCGCTCTGCAGGAGACACGCTGAATGTGAAAAGCAAAGTTAACCTGGGGAATTACATGTTGTCCATTGAGGGTGAGGGTGAAAGAAGGGAGGCTAATAATGTAGCCTCACCTAGCTCAAGGTCTATACATTATAAGGTTAGATTATAATTTTGCAGCTACTGGCTCCAAAAGGCAGGAGCTGCTCCAAGAGTACCAATAACTCCCAGGAAGAATCACTGTTACTTTGGTGCCAACCAAATTTCAGTGAACCTAAATGTCCTCAATGAGTCATCTAGACCTGATAACATATAGACCTTGACCTGTTAAATGGAGCTCATCTTAGCTCAGTCTAACATTAGTTGTTTGCCTGGAAGGCTCCCTGGGCAGCGGAAGAAGCTGCACCAGCGGCGGCTGTCTGGAAGGTTTTATTGGTGAAGACGCCCTGTGAGAACTCCTGCTGGGCCTTCTGGAAACTGGCTCCGGTCCGGCGGTACAGGCTGTGGACCTGAGGAGGAGGGGATGGTGAGCAAATGGTGTGGTCTGAGTCACACTGGTGAGGGATAGTGACACCTAGAATAACTGTTTAGTTTAATAGACCCCTGATCAACAACTGGATTTGGATCAATACTGACAACCGCTTTGTCCACAATCGTTCCATTGAGCTCCGTTATTGTCCAAAAACAAATAAAACATCACTGAGCCTCACAGTTGCACGAGGTGTTATGTTCTTTCACTACCATAAAGATAGGCACCATAGTTAAATCTGACTGCACACCATGATACTAGATCATGCTAATCTACATCTGGAAATTATTCCAAATACACTGTTTACTCTATTTGAGTAAGATTGGCTATAAACTACAATGCCCAGCTGTAATTTTTGTCTTTATAAGCTGGATGTTAACGTCTGTTTATGAACTATTTTTCACTTACCTACTAAATCATTTCCTGGCTTTTTCTTAATAACTTGAATATGACAAATGTGTACTACATAACTGTAGTAACTAACACTCCATTTCCCATCAGCACCACATTGTGCAGGCCTTTCTTGGAAATATCCAACAGTAGCACCAGCTAATTCTTAGGAAATTTTGAGGAAAGTTTCCAGGAAATTAGCTAGAAAATATGGGACTGGTAACATAAAGCATTACCTAAAAACAATAGTGAACACCTATTTAGCTTCTGCAGTTATTAAGTATTTGTAACTTGCAAACCCACAAGTTGGAGCTGAAAATATAAAGAAAAGTGAATAAACTCTTACCATCTTGAGCAGGATGACGGACAGCACGGCGCACATGGTGAAGAGGATGGCCACGATGATCATGATGGCTCCCACCGCCTTGTACGCACCGATGGCAGTGAAGGCAGCGATCCAACCACTGGAGTCAACAAACATCATCAAGTTAAAGGTGATTTTTATCAACAACTTTAGTTTAACTGAATGTCAAACATTTGTTTACAGGCACACACAGTTTACAGGTATCCTTGATGGGAGTTTGGTTACATTTAGGGAGAGAAGAAGAATGTGTTGAAGAAGCAGCGTAAGATGCAAGAAGAAGCAGAATGAAGGTCGCAATTCATAAAATTGTGATTTAAAAGAAAACAAAATAATTAATATTAACTAATACATGAAATATGAACATATTAACAATAACAATAACAATAATAATAATAAGCTATTTGCATGGACACTGATAGAAATAGAACTGCCGGCTTTGGGCCAATAGAGGCACAGTCGTGTCAAAATATACCACGCATGAACACCAATGGTTTTTGAGCATTCAATAGAGACATGGAGAAAAGCTCATAATCTGTTACACATCTCTCAATATAAACAAGGATATATGGGAATCATGGTTGAATGAGAATATGAGTAATGTAAGTGATATAGTGATATACAGGACAGACATGTTACAATATTTTAATCCAAGGAGTGGACAATCAGCCTCAGTTTTTTATTTTATTTTTTTTTATTAAATTATGGCAATATTCAGATTTTAGATATTTTATGTGTCCCGATTGGTTTTGTTACTTGTTCTTCATTGACTCAGTGTAATATGTTGTCTTGTATTGCATCATGTTTTCTATAAATTGGAAAACGTTCAATTCCAAATAGACAAATAAATAAAATAAATAAATAAAGCATATTATAAATAAATTATAAAAATAAATAAATAAAGGATGAACATAATAAAAGTGATATTATTACAACATGAATGTGTGCTCTAAAAGATCAAATAAAACACATTTCAAAGTGTGGGTAAATTTTCATATTAATATCCCAGAAGCCCCTTTGTTGTTTTCAGAATAAGTAGTTGAAAATTGTGCTGCTTCGTGATTTTCATCTCATCAGCAAAGGAACAGCTACTGGGTCACTAATGCAACAACTGGCAAATCTCAAAAAACAAGACAGGATCCCCTCGACTGTCTTTTGTCATTATGCAAATTGCCTTAATGACATGACAAGTGCCAATATGAAATGGAAAAGGGAAAGAGGGAAATGAAGAGCCACTTGGACAAGGGTCATTCTGGAAAGTGCCATCTTAAAATCAAAGGGCTTTTTTTTTTTTTAACCTTTAACTTGAGTATATTTAAAGTGCACATCACCTAAAGAGTCTCTGCAGATGTTACAGGTTAACATATATAACATCAGACACACAACTGTGAGACACGCACACACGCACAGGATTGAGGTTAGATTTAAGAATCTCAACAAAAGCTGTGCAGGGAGTTTATTCAATGCTTGTAATGGTAGTCAGTGCAAAGATGCATCGGGACTGGTGTCATAGTGGCTTCAAAAGATTCAGATCAACATCCCTTCACTTTCTGAACACTTTATTGTGTTGAAAATTGAATTTTAAATGGATAATTACCATTTTTGCCCATCGGTCTTCACTCAATAATCCATAACAATAGGTGAAAACACAATTTTAGATTTTTTTGTAAAATTTATTGAAAATCCAAAACTGACAGGGTGACTGGTCAGAATTGAGAGACACATGAATGAAGGCAGCTAACTACAGAGACGTCCTTGAAGAAAACCTGCACCAGAGAACAGGTGACCTGAGACTGGAGCGGCGGTTCACCTTTCAGCACAATGACCAAAGCAAAAAGTCAAGACAAAGCTGGAGTGGCTTCGGGACAAGTCTCTCACTGTGAGTGTGAGTGGCCCAGCCAAAGCCCAGACTCAACCCACATACGACATCTGTAGAAACACCTGAAGACGGCAGCTCACAGATGTTTCCCATCTAGTCGGATTAAAGGATCTGCCAGGAATAATGGGATAAACTGCCCCAATCCAGGTGTGTAAAGGTTGAAAAGACCCAAGAGGACTCAAAACAGCAACTTCGGCCAAAGAAGCTTCTTTAAAAGGACTGGATTAAAGGTCTGAGTACTTTTGTAAATGACAGGTTTCAGTTTTTGTTTTTTTTTAATAAATTAGCAAAATTTCTAAAAACATGTTTTCACTTTGTCAGTGTGGGTTATTGAGCGTAGATTGATGAACATAAATGGTAATTTCATCAATATGCAATTAAATCTGCAACACAATAAAGTGTTCACAATGTGGATACTTTCTGAAGGGACTGTATATGATCAAACTCATCAGGACTTGTCAGGACTCTGGTGGCTGTGTTTTGGAACAAATGAAAACGGCACAGTACAGAAGTGGATTCTGGATGTACTTAAAGTATCTACCAGGATTTCTGCATCTGAATTGGATGGAAGGGAGTTTTTGTGACTCAAAAGAGAGAGATGAAAAACTATTCCTAAATTCTTGACTGTGCGTATGTGTAAGTCAGAGAAGTTGTGCAGCATCAAGATTTATGGAAAAATCCATGAAAACCGATCTGATCTTTTTAAAGTAGGTAGTCAGGGAAACAAAAGCAGGTGATGATACCATACGTAGTATTATTTAAGTATTCATCCGCCCATATTGTACTGACTATATCAAGTATTCATTATCTATTTTGTAATTTTTAGACCTCTTGTCCAAGTTATTTAAACTGGTAAAATAAGCATTGTCATAAAAAAATCTAAATCTTAAATCACTTTTTAAAACATATTTAAACAGACAACCTTAATTTACTAAACTTTTTTGTCATATTCCTTCTTATACTTGTATTAAAACAGGCTTTACTCACTATTATCATTCCAATTCATAACAATATTAACAGATAAACAAAAGCACTTATGAAGGAGAAAAATGAAAGAGAGAAAAAAGTAATCATAAAAGGAAAAAAATTAAAGTCCAGTATTTAGAAAACGGTTTAAAACGTCAACAGCCTGAATTCACCAGTTGGTTCTTCCAAAGTCCAGCAGCCTGACAGCAGAGGCCAAGTCACCATCTGCTTTTAAAATAGACCTGTGAAGTGATAATCTAATTTATATTCTGGTTGTTTTATTCTCGAGTGGAAAGCCCATCCATTTACCACATAACTCGTTTTGCCCAAAACCACAATATACAGATAAGGCGAGAAGAAATCGAGTGTTGGCAAAAGGTAGCAGAGACAGAAAGCAGCAGAAACTTACAGAGTTACCAGCAGACAGAGAGGCAGTCGGCTAGAGGCTGAGGGATGGAAAGTCTCTGTCAGAAGAGATGGAAGAATGCAGAAAATGACAAAAAAAAAAAGAATAGAGCGAAGACCGCAGCTTATCGGCCAGCTGACTGGAAGCAATCCAGACACTAAAGACAAGGAGCCACAAGTAAACAGAAAACCTGTTTGAATCAGTCAGGAGAAATGTTTGAAATCACCAATAACTCCAGTTAATTATCTTTAATATGTTCATTAGCTCAATTAAAATTGAGATTGGATGTAAAGACATTTACAGTGGGGACACTATCCAAACCATTTATAAACTTAATTTCTAATCTCTCTAAATGTTAACATTAAATATACAGTGCGTGACTCACCTGTTCCCCCAGCCGGGGATACCTACAGCCTGGATAATGAAGATAACCACTTGGCAGAAAAACACAAAGAAGAAGAAGAAGAAGCTGAAGGAGCTGTCAGTCCTAAAAATGAGAAAACATACATTTAATTAATATTACATTACACATTACACAGTAATGTAAAACAAAGTGATGCAAAACAAAAAAAATAAATGGACGAGGTTGAAGCAAAGAATGTTGTGTTGTAAACAAAGTGACATTTCCTCTGTTGAGTCCATTACTTTCTATATTAGCACATTGACAAGTGTATTACTGTGCACTGTACACTCAGCTGGCAGGTTATTAGGAAAACTAATGGAGTCTAATGCAACAGCCCTGCAGTAAATGCTCCTTAATGAAGGTTATAATGTTCAGTTTTTGTTTGAGAGGTGCTGATTAAACTTCATGGTTATTTTGGAGGATGTTGTTTGTGGGGCTGTTAAATGATGTTATGTTATGTTACAGTCATTTATATTAATGAGAGTAGAGTAAATAATAGAAAACACCTCTCAGTATAACTACATCCTCCACAATGATCACACAAACCGAGGAGGATTTACTGCAGGACCATTGTATTACACTGCATTTCTTCTACCTAACAGCACCTAATAACTTGTAATATAGCACAAAATATATATTGTTGTTGTTGTTGCTATAGTTACTTTATAATTTAACAGATGTTGTGCACTGACTCATACCTAAGGTGTCAATTAAGGTGTTAAACAATTTTAACTGACACCTGCGAACCAAAGAGAAAACAGTGTTTCCAGTGACCATGGTGTGATAAAAAGATAATGCAGATGAGGACCACTACATTACTATACTACTAAGTTACATTTAACACTAACATATAAGCTACCTATGTGGATTAGTATAATGTATAACAACAGTTAAAATTATTTTGTGTTCTGTTGTATCTCCTTTGGCTCACTGTGCATCACAGGATAAAACAATAAGCCAGAGAGCTCAGCTAAAAATGTCCTCATATAACTTTGTATGAGTTGCATACAAGATGAGAGGTTGGCATGGAAACATAGTGGTTGTAATTATATCAAATAGTCATCTAACACTGATTTCCTCTTGAAGCAGCAGGCACGGTGATCATTACTGTGTGGTGTATGTAGCAGGAGCACCGGATAGACTCACTTGAAGGCCTTGTACACGGGCCGGTACCAGCAGAGGAAGGAGCAGGGACTGAAGAGGATGAGCCAGAGGATAGAGAGGCCAAAATCCACACCATGGTTAGCACCAGTGGTGAAGTAAGCCAGAGAAGCCAGCAGGTTGAGGAATAGAGTCACACAGTTTACTGAGGAAACAGAGAGAGAGCCACATCTCAATCACACTAATGATATCAGTAATATCAGCATCATCTTCATTTATATAGCAAACACAAACAGCTCTAGCGCAGCTGCTGTAAATAAGCGAATAACATTGTAGTAAGTCTTACAAAGCTCTTGACAAACATAATGAATGTTAACAGGTACTAACACCAAACTGGAGTTTGTCTAAGATGACATTACATAAATCAGTGAAAGTCAAAAGACTAAGTCAATGACACAGCAGCACTGATTATTAAAACACAATATCTGTCCAAAACGTTTTTGGTATTCAAACAGTTGGGAGAACAAAAATACACTGAAGTTTGATAATGTTTTACGGTGAGGCATCTCAGGTTTTGCGGCGGTTTTCTATAAAAATGCTAATCTCTAAAAATGTACACAACAATTCTTACTGCAGACAGAAACTGTATCACGTTGAAATGTCTTCTTATATTTCTGCCCTGATGCACAAATGCATCATGTTTATGTACTTACACATCCAGAGATAATACATCATCTTGCACACTCTCTGATACTCTGGGGGGATTTCCTCTGAGAAGTCCTGATAGAAACACGGTTTGATGGGGAAGCTTTTGGGAAGTGGAGGCCAGTTGTTCTCTTTACCTGTCGAGACAGAGACAATATCATCCCTGTTAGAAAACACAAGATATCCACTACTGCAGGAAGAGAAGCGCCAACTCTATCAAAATCGTGACACTCCTCTAGCATTGTTACAGAAACTTCATTCATCAAGTGGGTGGGACTCAATATACAGTAGCATTTCTATTCCAGCAGGTTTTTTATTATTATCAATATTACATTCAGATAGGGCAAATATATACTAAACAGCACAGAAGTAATGTGAGTACACATGCAGACCAACACAACTGGTAGATTTCCTCGTGCAGCAGGTTAAACACAGTTATATTGAAGTGGCAGTTAGATAAGATATCTAACGAGAAGGTCGAGTCCAGGATGTGGATGTATGTGACTGCCTCAGCTCTGGACTAACACACTATACAACACAGGTGATGTATCACATCTGCATACTGCATCTCATGAAGCACACACTGTCCACATACACATCTGTAATTTATATTAAAATGTTTTGGTTTTTTTTTACTAATCATTCAGTTTGTTCGCCTCCACCAACCGGCCGAGTTGCAGGAAATATGGTCACAGTCTCTCCTTCCTGAGTTACAGTGTTCAATAATGCGTGTGAGGTGTTTTTGTAGAACATTATGATGTCACAGTGAAGTTGACCTTTGAACTTTTGGATATAAAATGTCATCGCTTAATTCTATCCTTATAGATATTTGAGTTCAATTGTGTCACAATTAAAGACTGAAATCTTGAGTTATGGCCAAAAATGTGTTTTGTGAGATCACACTGACCTTGACCTTTGACCTATGACCACCAAATTCTAATCACTTCATCCTTAAGTCTAAGTGAATGTTTGTGCCAGATGTAATGAAATTCCCTGTGAGCATTCCTGATATGTCACACTCACAAGAGCGTGAGGTCACCATGACCTTGAACTTTGAACTTATATATCACCTTCATGAGAATGGGACAGGCAACCCAAATGCATAGGGCCTCCACCTCTGGTTATCCCCATGTGGAGGCATAAAAATGTTCAGGTTTGAACAAACAAAGACATGAAAAAAAGAAGAGGAAATTCAAACATTCAAGCTGTTTTAACCTGTAAATGTTTGATATTTTTGACTTGAAAAGCAACAATAACGAAGAATATGTGACCACAACTCAGTAATTTTGTGTTGTGTTTAATTAATTGATTCAGCACAATAGTGGGATAAACATCCTATACATGGAGGCTCTAGTTTTTCAATGCAGGTCAGGATAAACATTAACTCAACAAATAGCAAACACCAAAGTTGAAAATCCATGTAAATACGAAGCCAAACTGAAAGGTGATGCAACATCTACAGTCATCAATACGTGCCACCAGCATAGTTTGACTGTAATATGAATTTTATACTCAATATCTATTTCGTTATCAGAGTATTTTTTCACAGCTTGCGTGCAAGGATGTCATTTTTTTTCACACAACAGGAGAGGAGAGGAGAGGAGAGGAGAGGAGAGGAGAGGAGAGGTTTTGTCTTTAATGACCTGTCGGGCCTCTGCTCTGGAGCTCATGCTCTCTGCGGTCCAGCTCAGCAGCTTTTCTCTCCAGCTCCTCCTGCTGCCTCAGCAGGTTGGCCTGAGCTGCAGCAGCAGTCGCCTGAATAAGGAGAGTCAAGAACACTTTAGTCAACAAACACAGGAGATGTACAGGAATTTATCTTGGTGACATTAGTGCAGAGACATATCAGCAGCTCACGTTACAAACATATGGTGCAGAGACAAAAGGGCCTTGCACATACTGCAAGGCAAAATTTCCAAATAAAAGACAGTACACATATCAGCCTGCGTTATATATTCAATATTTTACATATTTAACATCTGAGACAGGGATGAACTCGTGTAAACTATTACAGAGCCAACATGTAGATGAGCATTCACAAGTGTTTATAGAGGGGTACCTGTGTTTTCAAAAGGCCATGACACTGTATGTTAGTCTAAAAATACATATTCATGATCGTCATATCTGCTGTCTGACTTGGCAGAAAAAGGAAGGACGCAGGTGATCTGTAGTGCTATGAATATTTATGAGATTACAATTGGAACAAGGAGGCTCATTATAATATTGTGTAAACTGATGCTTGTGTTGCGCAAAAACGTCCTCAGGTAACACTTGTTAATCTGAGGAGACAGTGGCTCTCTAGCCTCATCTAGTAATTACATATGTTACATCCAACAAACTGTTGGCTAAAAGTAAAATCCTGAATGAGTATATATAACTATGAGATGTTGTTGAGCTCTGTAATCTTAAGTAAACAAATGCTAAGTAAACATGACAACCTTCATAATGCAGTCGTGCCTCAGGCCAAACAGCAAAACCAAACAGGTCTTTTAAAAACAAGGTGTGGATTGTCTGTTAAACCTTTTAAAAGCTCATCATTCGACCTTTAATTATCCATTATCAGAATAACTCTTTTAACAGCAACTAGACTGCACCGACATGCATCATCCTCTCAGGCTGATACAAGTTGGTTTAGTAGTGTCTCAGATCACACTGGAGGTAAATCTTTGGGTCTCTGATTGTAGTGCCTCCATTAGACCCATTAGTGCGTCAATGAATAATGAATTCTCTCATATTCAAGATACAATTCAAAATATATATATATTTTTTGTTATGGGAATATTCTAAGAAGAATGAACTCCACACCATCCTGTCTTGTTTTTTTCTGTATTTTGTTTGTTTATTTAACTTTCTTCTAACTTTCTGTTTGTTTTGTCACTTTCTACACTCCTCTCCATGTTCAGTGTTTTTCTTTTTCTTTTTTTTTTTAATACTGGCTTTATTTTGTAGAAACCTGAAGTAGCTGTGCCAACAGTGTGAACAAAAACAGAGCTGCAATAAAATGTACAGTATACGACAACAGAGCCAGGAAACTACTGTCCTGTAATCTACTTCAGCGAAATATTTTTCAAGTGCAGCAGATAAGTGGAGGGTTTGGCAGAGAGAGAATCTCCACGACTGTGACTCACCTGTGGACTGGGCTCTGTAGATGGCTGTAACACAGCAGGCTGGTAGGGAGAGGTGGAGGCTGGAGTCGTATGAGTAGCTAAGCCTTCCTGGAAAATGATAAGCAAACAAATGGCAGTGGTGGTGATGAGATGTACAAGGATGAGACAACAAGACCAAGACCAAGAAGAAAATGAAGGAAGATAAAGGGATGAATATTATGGAGAGTTAGAGGAAGCAGAAGGGTGGAAAGAACAAGAAAAAGGAGATTAACAAGGAAAAGAAGAAAACCAAAACATACAGGAAAAACAGCAAGTAGGGGGATGATCAAAGATCAAACAAGAGGAGAAATAAAAGACAGAAGGAAAGAGAAAACAAAGACACAGGGAGTATGAGGAGATAAAAACAGGTTGAAGATAGATAAAGACAGAGCAAAACAAAAAATGACAATGGAGAAGGAAAAGGAAAACAACACAATGATACTGGTTTCAGATGCCTTACTGTGGACTGGGCAGGGAAGGGGCTGTACTGGTCAACTGGTTCTATACTGGGGTTGGTCATTTGTGTGACAGAAGGATCCTGGAAGACAACAACACATGTCATCCTCACCAGTCACTCATCTAATCACCACACACATAAACCACTAATACATCTGAGACAGTCAAGACACGGACTGACACAAACCGCTGAAAAACTAAAGAACTAAACAATAAAAATCAAACAACTGTGCTGAAAAACAGTAAGTTACAAATATACATAATCATAATCGTTAACTGTTTAAATTCTCTTATACTGACTTATGTCTCTAATTGAGTCACAGTCTCTAATTGGCATGAGTCAGTACCACCTGCACTGTGACATAATATGCTTTGTCCACACGGAAGGTGTCTGTGCCAGAATATTGTCTTTTGGATCGCCTGAGCACCATTGCTATAAACATTAGCTGGACTTCAAATGTCCTCTAATCTTCAGTTTTGATATTTGTCCTCTGAAAAACACACAGACATTACTGCTGTTTATCTTATCTTCAGAGGAACTCTCCCTTAGGAACTTTCATTTCCTGGAGCACTGGAGGTAAAGTTTAAGAAAGTCTGGTACCATGTTCTGACCAGGTCTTAAGGTGAGTTACAATAACATCCAACTATTGTTGCAATAACCCCCGGAGGTCTTGATGAATCATTAGCTTGGAAGAACTCTTTTCTGAACAGGAGTCAGGCACGGACCATTGGTAAACATTAATTGACTCTGATGGGTGCTATATGATCAAAGACCTCACAATGAGCTCAACTCTTTATAACTGATATGAGAAGACGCCAACTGCCGAGTCGGACAAGTGAAAGTCCGATAAAAGCAGATTTTACGGGGCTTTGTTTTGTCCTGTTGAATTCTGTGAATTTTTCCAGGAAATTCCACGACTAAATCAAAGTGCTCCACTGACCTAAAAAAAGGGGTCCACATTACTGGATTTAAACACCATTTTCCAGTTGGAAAATCATTTGGAATATTGTGAAAGAAACCAGCTGAAATCCACCATACACGGGAATGAATAGGTCAAATAAATTGTAGAGCTGCATTGATTGGTCAATTAATCAATCAACAGAAAATTTATTGCAAACAATTTTGATAATCATATCAATCATATACAGTTTTTATGCCATTATACTCTAGATTGAGCTTCTCCAATGTGCAGTTTTACATGATTGAAAACTGAATATTTTGTGGTTTTGGACTGTTAGTCAAACATCAAACCACAAACACAACATCTGAAGACGTCACCAAGACCTTTGGAAAATTGTGATGAACATTTTTCACTATTCTCTGACATTTTATAGACTAAACTGTGGATTAATTGAAAAAATGACTGACAAATGAAAATAATCTCACAATAATCTCACAACAATGGCCATTCCTGTATATGTATACATTCCTGTAACCTGTTACCTGTTATTTGATTAACAAGGTGCAATTTGTAGAGTCCAGCCCTGCAAAACTATGCAGCCATGCAAAATACGCCTTCATCTTATATGGTGTGGTTGTGATCCATTAGCTACGTTCCCTGAGAACCAGTGAGTATTAGATCCCCTGAGAATATTTCACATTCCTTTAATGTCCAGAATACAAATAAACAAATCACAACATTCCAGAAATTCCATGAGTGTTTTGACAACTAGTCAAAAAGGAAAATAACAACACATGTACTCTGTTCAATGCCCACCCTAAGTTCCTTAAGATTCGGGGACCCTTTATTAAACATATTACTAAGGAGAGGTGTCGACTGGGAACTAATGATAGTGGACTGTATTGCTCTGTATTGTGCTGATCCGCCCTGATTTGGTTTGGACCTTCCTCAACCTCACTTGGTGTTAAGTTCCATGGACTCTGTTTCTGACCCACATTTCATGTCATGAGCTGGCAGTTTGTTTTATTTTGTTCTACTCTTTTATGTCTATTTGGTTTTTTTGTAAAAAAAAAAAAAAGGGAAAAATTTCACAGATAAAATATATATATATAATAAGGAAAACATCTGATGTATCTTAATGTATCATATAGTTAAATTACAATGCAACATTTAAAATAGGTTAAAAGCTGTAAATATATTATGTATTATTTCATACTATATTATATATATTGCAGACTACAGGGCCCAGATAACACTGGATTAGTCACCACAAACTAGTCTCAACAAAAACTGAACATTATAACCTTCATGAAGGGAGGAAATATTACAGCACAGTTGTATTAGACTGCATTAGTTTTAGCCTGATGTTCCTAATAAACTGGCTACTGACTGTATGATAAAACAAAACTTTTAACTAAAAACTGTCAGAACTATTTCTAGAATCTGTGTCAGTTTCATCTTAAGAAGGAACGAATGAAGAACAAGAACCTCACATGACAACTCAACACGTCCCCCACTGGTCATGTGATTAAAAGTGTGACCTCACTCACAGTTACTTATCTGCCCCTGACACACCTGTTAACATTCCCAGAAGGAAACAGAGGGATATAACCCAACAGTTTCACTCCTTCATACTTGGCATTATGGGTAAAAAGAAATCTGGTTCAATGAAAAGTTAAAAAATTCAATTGATCACATCCTTTGACTACAACTACTTCTAACTTGGAATATTTTCAAAAATATCCTGGTGTGCGTTTTAAACGACAGATGACGTCTTTTAACACAGAATTCTCTGTCCATCACCACAGCTTATTGATATATTCAAACCTTGCAAAATGCAAAATGTGTTTACCATATGTAAAAGGCAGGAAAAACATCCTGCTGAATCACCACTAAAGAACTGCTTGTGCCTTTTGATGACACAGCACAGACGGCAGTGAACGAAGAACACTGTAACCAAAGCGATGACAAGCCTCTCTGAAATAAGAACTAAGCTGGGACGAGACGAAACAAGATGACACCATGTTTTAAAACGACAGCAAAGAGGTGTGGAGATGCACACGAAAGCACCTCTCCACTGATATTAAGATCTACAAGGGTCTGGCCTTAGAATTTGACTAATTCAAACCTAAAAGACTAGAAATAAATTTGGAATCAAATCAGCAAGATGTCCTGACCTAAGTGTCTCTGTACCGGGAAACAGAATTTGCTGTGATAACCTTTGAATACCTAGGTGTGGCTATTGTACTCATTTCATAACTACAGCTGAATATTGCTACTAAACAGATTTAAGCCACCCTCCACATTGCATACCACAGCCCTGCAGTGTTACAACTTTTAGAAACACATAAGAGGACTCTGTAGATGACTGGGGAAGAAACCACCACATTAAACTTCAAGGTCACAGAGGGTGCACATGTTCAAATATCTGTGTGTGTGTTGTTAGTATACTGAATTAATTTCAAAAGTTGGAAATATTTTAACTACTTTAACGTAACCACAGACAGCACATTTGTTTACACTCAACCAGTTCACAGTGAAGTGATCTGCACTATGGCGTACACAACATATTCCAGCTGCTAGTAGGTTATTTATTCAGCCACTTCCACACCCTGCAAGCAAACAGTGGTCTCCACTGACGTCACAGCTATTGTGCACCTGTTATGATTAAGTGTGACTCTGCATTACTGTAAAAGTGACTGTGTTATGTAATGTCATAGAAATCATAAAAGTTTTCACAGATTCTTAATTTTGATTTGTAATGCAATGTGGGTATTCACACACGAAATATGATATACTATGGTTGCCTTCAAGCCATGAATTTCTTATTTTACAAACCTCAACAAACAAGCTTCAACAAAATTCCTCTACATTTTGTACCTGACAAATGATGCAAACCTGATTTTAAAAGACCTATAAAAAAAAGCAAGTGTGTTTAACACGGTGCTATAACCTAGATTAGATGTTATGTTATGTGTTTAGAAGCACTGCAATCTGGGCGTCCAAGTTCCTCAGCGGGCAAAGTCACATATTACCAACTGTCAATTGTGACTAATCTGTTAAAATCCAATTCACCTTTTATGCTGCATGTTAACCCCTGCCCACATTTTTGAGGAAGCTCTTTGTGACCAAAACGACACGCCTACACACAGTAATAGAGAGGGAGTTGGGCCTGTTAGCGTATTTCCTTTCCTGCAAATTTTAAATTTTTTGCTAATACATACTACATAAGAAGAAGAAAAATATGGAGAAGATATAGATTCATGACTACTGCAGAAAAGTGGACTAGCATGTTTACAGCTTTACAGCTACAAAGAAAAAATGTCTCAAATCCTTTAAAAAAATAAGGTTTTCTTGTATTTACAAAACAAGAAGATTGTCTTTCTGTATATGTAAATAATAATAATAATAATAATAATGATAATAATAATTTTTGAGTTGAGATTTCAAACTTGGTAGTTTGAAATAACTGGGTGTTTACCAGACGGGGACGGTCTAGTGAAAAGTTGCACTAAAGTTGCATTATGCGAAATGCAGAATCCACTGTTTTAGGAGCTCAATATATCACAGCTGCTGCTGCCTTTCTCATGACCATTCTTCTTTTAATGTGTTGCTCACCAGCCAAACCTTAAGAGACATGCAACATTAAATCAGTGGAGGGCCCCTTCTTAGATAATGTAAGCAATAATAAAATTGCAAGCATCTTGTCTCTTTGAAGAGTCTGGAGAGCAGAGATGCAACATTTAGTCGATTAATCAATTAGTCGATCAACAGAACTTAATTAATCAAAAAATCTGATAATCCAAAAATCGTTCCCGTCGTACAAACAAAAATGCTAGAAATTTACTGATTCTAGATTTTCAAATGTGAGATTTTGTGGTGTTTCTTTGTCATATCTGACTGTAAATTGAGTAGCTTCAGGTTTTTGATTTCGTCTTTAGTTTGCTTTTTTTCTGACTAAGAAATTAAGAGCACTATCTTTTAACATTTGATCGATAACAATCAATAACCTTTGACATGAGGATAACAATACATCCCCATTTCATTTTCCAGTGCATTTCAAAATAGTAAATCCTCTTTTACAACAATTGACATCTTCCATGATGCACATTAAGAAGCACTTTCATCTGTAGGTGAGCCTCTTTAACAATGAATCACCAAGTGTTAGATGGCCCACTTCTGAACATTGAAAAATACGGAGTTTTCAATGAACTCTGCTGGCAAGCTGTGTGCTCAAAAGTTATCCAGATTCAATATTTTTTAGGACACAAAGACAATGAAGTTACAGAGCTTTTTATAGATTGAATGGACTTCTAGGCTACATCCTGTAGGTTAGAAATTCAAACAGCAGCACGAAATGAGGTACAATGGTAAGCCTGAAATTTCATTTTTTTTCATTTTTCCTCTCCCATTTATCATCTCATGACCCCTCAGATTTATATTGCCGCCCTCTAGACAGGCCTGACCACTAGGCTGGTAACCACTGGCGTAAACTAGGTAGCTATAACATTAAGTTGCTGCCTGATTAACACTGGCATTGAGTATTAACAACCTAGTAATGTCAGATAGAATTAGCTATCAGTGACTGACTGTACCTTTACCAGTAATATAGTATTTTGAAACTGTGGTATTGGTACTTTTACTAAAGTAAAGGATCAGAGTACTTCTTCCACCAGTGAATTTAGAAAACATTACAGATTACAGGACTCCAAAACCATATCAAATCATATTCAACATATTAGAAAAGCCAAATAGTCCTACGAAATCGTTTAAAATTGAATTGAAACAGTTGTAATGTGGTTAAAAAGGTTTGACACACATTCCTTACTGGCTACAGTTTAACTTCCTGCAACTAAACCCAAAGAATAACCCGCCCTCTTTTCTCACACAGCGCGCTGATTGGTTGCAGCCCTGTCAATCAGCCATCTTTGCCAAATGGCTTTCAAGAAGGCAGACGTAGATCCCGCCCCCACATCCTCCCAACAAGTTTCCTTTTAACGAATGATATGTCAGCACCCAGGCTCGACTGTTCCTTACCAGCTACCCAACTAAATCTTACACCAAACACACTTACATTGAAAGGGTTGTCGCTGTCAGGCGCTGCGAACGGGTTGTTATCAAATCCCGACATTTTGAAAAGGCTGCGGGGCTGTTTTATCCTCTCTGCGCGGGGAATAAACAACAAACTCTTTTCTGTCGCTTGTGTTGCCTCTCCTACCCACTTCCTCGAGTGAAGTTGTCAGCGCAGGCGCAGTGAGACAGCTGGGCAATGACGTGTACGTCAGTTGACACAGTTAACAGTCACGAAGTAAAGGTGCGCCACCTGTGGATTTCACTTCAGTGGTGTAATAAAAAGCTATTATTCCTGTCTTCTGCGCGTGAGATGTTTGAAATGTTTTAGATCACTCACATGATGAATAAGTCATCATAGAAGTTCAATGACATCCCCAGCCAATTAGCATCTTTCTTCAAAAGTATAGTTTTGTAATGATGTTAAGCAGCAATAGATCAGTGATCTTGGATACAAGGATGAAGGTTAATGACTTTCAGTTAAACCCCTGCATTATTAAAATGAGTATTTGAACAAAGTAAATACATGATTTTGTATTAAATCCATAGACTTAAAGGTCTAGTCTGCTTGCAAGAAGAGTTTGTTTATAAATCTGTGACTGGAAGGAGCTACATTATACTGGGTGCATGGAGGCTAGTGAAAGATCAAATAGGAAAACCTCATTCAAAATCCGATTGACATTTATATCCACGCTAATATCTAAAAATACGACTTTGGAATGGCCTTCTCAACAGTGGCTTGCTTCATATGGGCAGCACTAGAATTTAGAAAAGAGAGCCAGTGTCATTGTTAATTCAATAATCATTGTTTAATTTTGCTAAAATCCGGTTTCAATTTCTCATAGCAAGTGTTGAAGTGGATGCCATTTTGTTTTAAAGTATTGAAAGTAAACCACAGGAACACTATATTTTTTTTTTTAGAAAGATTCATGAAAGAAGTGTTAAATGAGCTACAGAAGCAATTAGAAGAGATGCTAGCCTGGACGTGATGTAACACACTTTCTATTGAGTTGTATTATGGGAAGTGTAGGATTCAGTATTGTTTAACTCATAATTTGCAACACAGATCCTAAGTGATTTTTTTTTTTAATCTGTCACCAGTCTCTTGACTTAACAAGAGTAGGCTACTCCTTTAAGGCAGCTTCAACACGGTATACTACACAAAGTTCATAGTGACCATTGTCTACATTCATAGATTTTTTTTTCACCAGGTATCACTGATTGGGTCCCTTTGATCTTCCCACAGAGTTAAATGATTTTGTTTTTTTAATTTATTTTTATTTGTTTGTTTTTTGTTTTATAATAGGCTTTTTTTATTGGAAGAGATCAAACAATACAGAAAAACAAAATAACAATATGGACCAATACAGATAGTGGACTGTGATATTCAATATTCTAAAACATTGCACACGATTTAAAAACAGAAATAAGCGTAAAAACATGTATGAAAATACATTCATTTGTCCCCAAAAGGTTTTTTGATCTGATTTGATTTGCGTGCTATTTGGGGAGAAAAAAAACCCTAGTCGTTCGTCTGGCGAGTCGTGACGTCACCAACGGTCTGACAGCGGACGTTGCAGTCATGGAGGAAGTGAGAGGTGAGTGAGATTTTCTCCTTCCTAACTGTGTCAAATCATCTGTTTCATCGATGTATGTTTAGTTAGCTAGTGCTGCAAAGGTTTTTTTTTACATTATACGATACCCCAGAAAGCGTTTTAATGTAGTGAGCCTGAACAAACAGCTCGTTGTCAGCGGGCATCCACATCATTATTTCAGCCGGCGTTTTGTTTGTTTAATACGGAGCAGATACAGTTTAACGCAGCGCTGTGGGTGAAATAACATTTAGCGCGGCATTTTGACCACACATAGAATATATACAGCAATACGCGCTCTTACATGTGCATTGTATTAAAACTGGCGAACCGACTGCTTACTGAATGTGTTCCTGTCAGTGAACGTTGCATCGTCAGCTGGCCGGTGTTCAGCCATATAAAGTAATGTATCCCTGGCGGAATCCGTATACTCCGTTTTACCGTTTAATAATGAGCGTATATATTTAGACAGGCCGTGGTTGATTATTTCTCCCTGCCAAAATAAGCCACACATTACTGAACTGCAAAAGCTGCACACTGATTTGTTAGCTGCAGTTAACAAACCAGTGTATTATAATTCAAACTGTGCAGAAGAGAACATGTTGTGTTTTCTGTTTTCTCCTGTCTCTTATTAGTGTCTGGTAACAGTTGGATCATTTAATAGGTAGGCAAACATTGATAGAATCACATTCTCAGACAGAGAAACAAAATTTAGTGCACGTGAAGGAAGGATTACAGAAGAGTGTGGTGTTTTTTAAAGTTGTGAAGGAGAGCCTTGGGATGAACTGGATTAGGACTGATTAATTATTTTCATTATTTCATCATTTTGTTGAGTAATCAATTTATCTTTAAAATAAGTGAAAATAATGGGGAAAATAGTGAAAATGCCCAGTGTAGTTCAACCAGATGTCAAAAAGCATAGATATTCAAATTAAAATCACATATCGACAAAGGAAAGCATCAGATCTATCAAATCTGAGAAGCTGCGACCAGCAAATCTTTTGGCATTTTTGCTTAAAAAAAAACAAAAATTATTATTTGATCATTAAAATAGTTACAAATTATTTGTCCGTTGATCAACTAATCATTGCAGCTCTGATTTGTTCCCTCTTCAGTTTTTCCCCTCACCTGTGCTGTGCAAAATTATGCATGGGGAAAGAATGGGCTGGACAGCGAGGTGGCCAAACTGGTGATTGGTGGAGACCCCCTGGCTGTCATAGAGGATGGCAAACCCTATGCAGAGGTAAGGTACTGGTTCATATCACTAGACTGGTCCTTGAGTAAGACACTTAAGCCCCGGTCCTAAGAAACAGGGGTGTATCATATCTGTAGGAGATTACTGACAAACATGGATATATAAATTGCATGAACATGTTTTTGACTACAATTGCAAGTTGTGGTAGAGTGATGTTTGCAAATAAAGGACTAGACTGATAATAGACACGTTTTGTCAAAGTTGGACCAATAATACCTGAAAAAGGCTGATCAGTAGCTTTCATTTTATTGCAAATAGCAGCACTAGGTCACTTATTGTAGTCTTTAACACTGGAACAGAGTTGGTACAACGATTCTGAAACATTGCTCTAGCGTTCTCTTGACCTCATTACAAAGATTTTCAGGATTTTAAATGTGCTGTTGTTCCTCAGTATCTTGGCAGAGAGGCTTGTTCTCCTCATGCCTTTCATAAGTCTTTCTTTATTTAGCTACAGCAGCTCTGCAGGGTTTGTCATGAAGGTCATTAGTTCATGTTATGGCAGTAGTGACATTTTCACGTACCACAAGCCTCATTAATGTCACATGCCATGGTTGGTTATCATCCCTTTCTTGGCTATCTACAGAGGGTTGTATGGATGCCTGCTGTATATTATGGGACATATTGTTTAGCACATCTGTGACATTTTAGTTTGTGTCCTATTGTTACCATAAATGTTAGGTGAGAAATTATTGTGACCCCTTTTGCCGGTACATTTGTTCAGCTGCACTAACCCACTAATCATTATACATCATTATAGGATTTATTCAAAAAGAAAAACTATATAAATACAATGTACAATGGAGCAAGATTGAACGTACATACTTCAAGTAATCTGTGTTACTGTATTAAAAACGACAGTTCACAGTATCAATAACAGTATGTTTCTGTCAGTGCAATAGTACTGAGAATGTTTCATACTGTAGGTCACAGCCCAGGACTGATCCAGGACACAGCAGGTTAGAGAAACTGGACCCTACAGCAGTGGCCAGTGTTTGTCCACCAACAACTATGTGTCCTTGAAAGACAGTATCCTTCACTTATATTTAAGGTATTAGAGTAACCCTCTTATCCAGAGTGATTTACACTGAGTGAGATGGCTGGGATTTCTCTCTCCTTGCTGAGTATAAATCACTTTGGATTAAGCATTAGTTAAATTGAGTAAATGTATGATACCAGGCCTTTGTCTTAGACAGCCTGGAAACAGCTGGGACTCTCATTAGGAGGATGCTTGTATCCAGAGGAAAAAAATGAGAGGAGCAACAGTCAGTCAACATTTATAAAGTTTTTTTTTTACTCTGGCATTAGTTACACTTTCAATTGTTTTAGTGCTCATTGCTGGAACTTGTAGATGAAGGGGAAAGTGTTTCACTTTCTCACCTATATTTTCATCTTCCAGTCACAAACCCACCTCTGTAACCTTTAGTCTGCCTCTTCCTTCACCCACTAACACCTGCACAAGGATTCTGAAAATGGATGATCTGTCCACCTGAAAGTATTTTGTCTGTTCCAGTTGTGGATGGGTGCCCACCCAAAAGGCGATGCCCAGATTAAAGACAACAGGATCGCACAGACAACACTGGGCCAGTGGATCGCCCACTTCCCTGCCTGCCTGGGCTCCAAGGTTAAGGACACCTTCCAGGGTCAGCTGCCCTTCCTCTTCAAAGTCCTCTCTGTCAATACCGCTCTGTCCATACAGGCCCACCCCAACAGGGTGAGTTCACAAACACCCACCTACTCAGTGTTCAAATTCTGTGATTGGGAAATTGTTTGGCAGAGATTTTTTTAAATACATACAACACTTTACTATTTTCTATGTTTGAACAGATCTGAAAAAGAGCAACTGTAAAAAAATAAATAAATTAAAAAATTAAAAAATAACCTACAGTTAAACATGAATATAGGTTCAGAAAATCAGTATTTAAGTATTAACTTCCTTATTTTTGCAACACACAAACTGTAATGAGTTGATGAGGGAAGTGTGGCAATTTTACACAGCAAAGTCTATTCACAGGTCCTAGGGAGTACTACTGCATATGTGAAAATGGTTGTATAAAGCTTTTGTGGCTCCTGACCCAAGGGTACATTTGTAGCTGCTAGTATAACACACTCAGATCTCCTGTTTTCAGAAGAATGCAGGGAATAAAACCAGTGATATCTCTGGTTCTGCTGCATTGAATTTGAGACTTCTTAAGAAAAACTCTGCATCCTGAGTCTGACAACTTTATATAAATACAATGTTGTATTGTTGGACTACTCTGTAAAGACATGTTGCCTTCATTAAGAGAAGAGGGCTGCATGTTAGGGTGTGTTAAAGCATCCC